TAGTTATTTGGTGTTAAAAATGCTCTTGAGATATTTGATTTATATATTCTTTATATAAAAAAAAATAAAAGTACCTGTTTAATTTAATTATTGTACTTGATTTAAAATACTAGATACCTCACATTTTACGTTTTTTAAAATAAATGTATAAATTACCAAGCAAAAAAAATTATCTAATATTTGACTGTTTACAAATAATGGATTTATTTAATTTTATACCTTCTTTAAAAATATACTGTAGATGTTAAAACTTAATACCTTTTAGAAAAATATGAAATTATAAATTATAAATATAATGTTAGTAATTTGAATTTTTTTTTAAATCAGTATGTATACTTAGTAAAAAATGGTGAAATCAAAGATATTTGTCTTAAGTGAGTAAATAATATATTTTGAAATATTATTTTTGTATTATAGATTACTAGACTATAAAAATAATTGTAGTCTTTTCTTTTATGCAGAAGTATAAGTAATTTTGAAAATTTTTAATTTTTCAGAAATAATAAGTCAGATTTGAATCACATAATCACTAATAATTATTGTTGTATAAACCATACATTGCTACGATGCTACACCATTACTATACTATTGGTTTACTAATGTTGGAATGTAATAGTACACAATCTTTTAATGCTTAAAAAAACCCATGCCGTATATTTGTCACATTATACCAAATACTTGTATTACCTAAAGTCGCATCGTTCAGATGCATATGAATATTACGGCGCGCAAATGATGATGAGTACAAGTCGAAATTAAAGAGCGAAAAAGAGTCGGCGCAGAAATAGGTATTTCTATAAACGTTTATACGCGACACCGTTTCTCTGTACTTTACGTTATATTACCGTTGTCAACGTAATAGTATCATCGTGACTGTGTAATATCGTTTTATAATGATAACGCACTACGTTAATATAATATCATATAAGCCAAGGTACCTATAAAATATCATCACATCATATTATACACCTATAGTACAAAGTGTAGTCATCTTTAAAGACTACAACATTGAGAGGCCGGGGAGGTGGTATAAAAAGCCCACACCGCGTACATACCGTAGTTATATACTGTTGCTGCGAAGGGTGGTCAGAGTGCAGGTATTAGTGTATTACAGTACCTAATAGAAAACGGGGCTGAAAGAATACAATTTGAATCACAAGACCACATAAATTAGAGACGACAAGTAGACCAGGGATATGGAAACCTAAAACGCTGAGCGGCGGGCCGTCAGAGGGAAACAACATCTGCTCTGTGTCCACCTCGCCGTAATATAATTAAATTTCCCGTATAATATTATTGTCGGTCGTTATTATTATTTTCTCCATTCCACGTTATTAATACGTCATATACAAATAATGTTTTAATTATACACGGGGTCCAGAGTTTAGGCGTTATTTATTGTTGTTATTACACGGCGGTGTGCAGCGCAACACATAATATACGCAACGATATAGTGTATATATACTCCGTATTAACCTCCTAATGACGACGACGGCGACGACTACATAGTCGGGTGTACCTATTCTATTGTTCCATGCGAGCGTAAAGAAAACCGACGGCCGCGGGTACCTTACTACGGGGTGGTCCGCGAAGGGCGGCAGCGGGACGTCAGAAGGGCGGTTTTTTCTCACCTAAACAATATTTATGTGTCCGCGAGCTGCAGTGTGTGTGTGTGTGTGTGTGTGTGTGTGTGTGTGCGTGTGTGCGTGTGTGTGTACTTGCGCTCGGTGTTCGGGTGTTGTTGCGGACGATCGATTGATCGTTTGAAGATTTTTGTTTTCACTGCACCCCTTTTATATTATACAGTACCTACCTGTATAGTATATTATGATTATTATATAAAATATTATAATACATGCATTATTTCGCACCGGCCAAGTCTTCGAGTATAATATACGATTCAAGAAACATTCGTTTGCGGAATCGGCGAACAATAAAATGAAACCGTGATCCCTTCTCGGGGTGGTTGTTGAAAATTCGTAAGACACATACAATTAAACCTGAAAACACCCGGTTGTCTACCCCCTACGCCTTAGGCAGGATTTTCCCACAAATAGATAATTTAGATAATCAAGTATAGCGTACTGATGATAAGGATTCGCGAGCGGGTTCGACGGAGATTGCCCCGGATTAATTACAATATCATTATTATTATTTGTATGGTGTTTTATAAGATATACATTTATAATTTATTTATAAGTATAATAATTATTTTATTCTCTTCTTATTATACATTTTAATGATGTACAATTATATTTTAATATACCCACAGTTATTATCGTTGGAAGTTGATAAACTCGTCGTTTATTTCGAAACACTAAGCCGGAAAAAACTATTATTGATTGTACATTTGTAATACACATTGGTTTTAGGGCCTCATTCATTTTCGTTTCTAATTTCTTAATTAAAGTAGGTTGTGTATTTTATTGTTTTTATTTTTATTGGTCAATTGTGTATTTGTGTCTGTTAATGAAATAAAAATCAAAAATAGACTTTTATACTACTGATTTATAAACCTGACATTTTTATATTAGCATGTATTTACATAAATACGAGAATGATGAGTATATTAATTTATTTACCACTAGATTATAAAAATATATGATAATACAATTAATTAATAGTTAATAATTTAAGAAAGGCTTTTTAGAACACTAGTATTTTTTTTTTTGTATGCATTGTATATTAATATTATTTCCTTTTATAATGGATGATATAAGCAGCTTAAATATTTATATTGATTTGTGTTTGATATTATGTTATTGTATGGAATTTAAATACTTTATATACTCTAGTAATCTATATAATACAGTCGAAATTGGAAGTTTAAAAAGTATTAATGTAACAGCTAGAAATCGGTGGAATTCAAAATTTTAAGTTCTATTGATATCAAGATTATTTACATAAATACAATTTGTGAATTCCTTCGATTACAACTACTATACTAATACTTACTTTATTACTTTAGATATAGGATTTTCCTATTGTTTTCTCATCCATATACATTTTTTTATTGCTACTATTGTGTAATAAATACAACATAAGATGAGATGGCTAATTTTATACAAATTCAATTCAGTTGTAAAGTCAACCGCCGGGGCATAGGTACGCTTGCAGTTTTATTGTGTTATTAAAATTCCAAAAACCAAAGAAAACCATAGCGGAAGTGGAAAACTTTTGTACGTCATTTAAATTTTGGTTTATAAAGTAATAGTTAATAATTTAGATAATTTTTGTTGTGTAAAAAATGGTTGTCCTGTTCATTTAAAAATTTAAAAATATAAAGAGTAATGAAAAAATAGAGCTTTTCATAATAGCTACAATATAATCATGGAGAGTTAAATTTAAATATTTTAGATGTATAGTTTAAAAGACATAAATGAAAAGCTATCTGAAATAACTCTCAAATACTTAATGGGAACTATATGTTGCTTCAACAACTTATTTCTCATGATATAAACTTGGAACATTTATTTTTATTTTAGCAATTTATACTATATTTTTTTTACAAATTGAATACTGAGAATCTATTAAGTCTATAAAACGGGGGAAAAAAATAAGCATTTTTAAATTTGCAATTTTTCAACTCAATTTGGTTATTTTTCGTATCGATAAAAGTATAAATTTGAGTTCATGGAATTCTACTTATTACATATGTCTGGTATAGCATGTATTGTCTATCCAAAATATTAACAGTCAATCCTATTGTTACAATAATACAATTATTATCGCACCATTATACTCATCGTTATAGTAGTAGGCATTTTAGCTAGGTATGATGTGTATATAGTACCTATCTAAACTATTAAATACCTATATAGCATTACTATTGCAAAATTAGTATAAAAATAAATATAGGTACAATTATCTGTTGTTAAAAGTCTTTCTGTGGCCTATGGGTGTAAGTATCCATTTGTAGTAAAAAACATTAAGTGTTTAAAGATCGGGTGTCAAATGTTCTAGTTTCGACGAAAACTAATTATCCGATAGTGGGTTATAACTTTTTTCACGGAGCATCAAATACATAAAAGAATTGAATTCAAAAAATTTCTCTCGAGCTGTGTTATTACTTATTAGTAATTCTAATACAAAATATCAAGGGTAATATGAATTTCCTGTTTTATTTTCAATCCCACGCATCCAAACCAGCTTCAGAAATTATAACTACTGGGATGGATGCATTTTTCAGTATTAACTTATATTATGTCCGTCGAAAACTATTGCGTCCGTTCTATTGTTTTTCATCTTTCTGTTCCGCATTAATTCAGTCTTTACACATATCCCGCTGAGTTTCGACTATACGTGTACATCACAGTCGACAATAGTATAATTTAGGTGTGTATAACTTTACCTTAGCTTGTACCAATATTATAACCAACGAGCTATAGGCCATATAGGCAAACACGAAATGTGTGAGATATATGCCAACTATCATGGTAGTTTGAATGAAAAAAATCCTTGAAACATTACAATAAAAACCCACTAACAGAGTTTCAGAGGGCCGTTTTGTGTGCATAATTAATTTATGTACATACAAAATTATATAATACAGCGCTATAGCTACTATACAGTTTTGACAGAATTAACGAGTTAGATATAATATATTATTTCAAGACTGGGACGGCGGTTGATAAAATCGATTTCCCACTTCAGTGATGAGAAAATGCAATTAATTTTGGAAACCTTATATACAACCATAGAACACGGCACATTAATTAATTTCGAAACAGTAATCAATGTACATCGGATCAAATGCTTTTGGCGATAGTGTATTTCAATGATGTCTCTACATATTTATTACAACTATATAATTTACGTACGGCAGTCGATTAAACATACGATAACAGTTTTCGTGACAAAATCAGGAAGTAAATAAGTAATATTTATTTTTCCACTATGTGTTCCCCCCCCCCCCCAAATATCGAAAACCCCTCAAAGATAGCGCTTAAATACAAAATCGAAATGAAATAGATTGAAAATATTTAAGGCATTGCACTTACCGGCTCCGGACGGGTCGCCGTGCAGTTGATCGAACGTCTTGCTGGTCATCTGGAACAGCGCATCCAGCGGCGACGAGTTGTCATTGTTCTTGCCGGCCGCTTGCTGCTTTCTGGCCGCGGCCGCGGACGACGACGAAGGGTTCGACTGGGTGCAACTCGCTATTTCCGGGCTGGTGCAACACTCGCTTCCGTCCGTGCTGGACCTGCCACTGGTGCACGTGGACGTCTCGTAGTCAGCAGACTTTGGTCGGTGCTGGTGGTGATGCTGGTGCTGCTGGTGATGGTGGTGGTGTTGCTGCTGCTGTTGCTGCTGGTGCTGTAGGTGCTGTATGAACAGCGAGTGCGGGAACAGGGCACCGACGACGGGCTGTCGGTGAGCGGGAGGCGGAGGAGGTGGCGGAGGATGCACGAACGAGCTGCACGGCGGCTGGTACTCCTCGGCCCAGGGCCTGACGATCTTGGCCCCGTCTTCGGCGCCTGTGGCCGACGGTTGTTTGCCGCCCGCCGACGACGGTTCATGACTGAGTATGTCGGCGATACTGAACGACTTGACGCCGGCCGCCGGCTGCACGTCCTCGGTGACGGCCGACGAACTGGGGATGGTCCGGCCACCTTGCTGCGTGGTGGCCGTCATCGTCATCATGTCGACGCGACCGGACGCCGGGCAACCGTCAAGCTGCACAGGAGGCGGGGGCGGCGACAACAACAACTGATGCTGCTGGTGTTGTCTGTGCGCCCGACGCTTGGGCGCATAGCTCTTGCGATCGCTAATGCCGTAGCTCACCTTGTCGATCTGCACCGTGCCCAACTTCTTCAGCGGTTCGAAGTAATCGGAACCGCCGCCGGACGACGACGTATCGGACCCATGACCGCCACCGTCGTCGTGCAGCCGGGCGTAACACTCGGCCGACGCTGGCGGCGACGGCCTGCCGACGCTTATGTCGTCCGTGTCGTCGGCCACCGGGCTCCGGGGCGATCGGCACCTAGAGGCCGCGGCGTAACCGCTCAGATCGGTCGGGTAACCGCCGTAGTAACAACTCTTGTTGTTGTTGGTGGTGGTGCGCAACAACGCTATGGATTTCATGCTATCCGCGACCGGAGTCATCAACAGCACATGTCCTGAACGCGACCGGCGCCGTAAGTCCGTCCGAACTTGGTGAACACGAGATTATAATACACCAAATATATTATAATACCGTCGCGGCCACCGGATCGACTGTTAAAACCGTTATTGCAGTAAATCGCGTAACACACTCGGCGACGTCACGAAACTCGGAACAATAATATTATTATAAATAAATCGCGAAAACGAAACCGAACTGACGTCGCGAAACTATATTATATTATTATAAACAAATATTGTGTGTGGCGGCGGCGGCGGCGGAGCGAGACGAGAGCGTGTGTGTAAAACGCGGTCGGTGCGCACTGACGGCGAGTCCACTGAGTATTAATCCGTCGGCGGTGGCGGCGGTCGGTCGTCGTGCGGCGGCGGCACCGGCTTCGTCGTAGGCGGCGCGGGACGGAGGGGAACGGCGGCTCCGGCTGTGGGACGGCGCGCGTCGGGCGGCAGCTCGGGTACAGCCGACCAATCGGCGAGCACGGCACCGCCCACACGCCCGTCCGCTCGGACAAACACTCCGCCGCCTTAACCCTTTAATTACGCCTCCTTTGTCGGCTCGGCGGACGGCGCGACGCACACACAGACGCCGACATCGACACCGTCGACGGCGGCGGCCCTCTCCTCTTTTAGACACTAAATTATGTTTTCTTTATCGCGACCGCGCGTCTGTGTGCATCACTAGCGCGTATACCGCTGCCGCCGCCGCCGCCGCGTTAACCATCACACGATACCAGGTCGATTCATCTCGGACGTAATTTATTAGCGCGACACTGCCCTTCCTCTCCCCCCCACCACCCCCAACCCACCATGGGCGCGTTGAACGGCCGCCGCCGGTCCGATCGCTCTCGCCGTGTTCCACGCGCGGCTGTAACTCGCGGCTCGCTCGCCCGCCGCGAGTTATTCTCTCTTTTCGTTAATAACAATATTCTCCCCGCGCACACGCGGCCGCGGCCTCATAATAATACCCAATCATTATTATTATTATTATTATTATTATTACACGCGCGCGCGCATTCACAACGCGTTTCTGAATAATATTATAATATATATTATACTACGCAGCTCCAGTATTATGTGTGTGCCTATCGTGACGCTAACTGGGTGGCCTAACGAGTATTAGTCGTATTAGTCGTCGTCGTCGTCCAAACGCGGCGTCGTCGGCCCACCGACAAGGCTTTATAATTTTTATTATTATTCAGACGACGACGACCGCGACGCTGCCCGACGGTTTCCGTTATAATAACAATTTAATAGATCCCCCAACAGATATTACCTACGATACTCTATACCAATACGATTTGCGGCGGATCGAAAAATACATATTTTATATACGTTTCGATATCATATGATGCTCGCGGTTAGGTTAGAGGGGGATCTGTAGAAGGAGCAGAGATTAGATAACGCGCCTGAGCGATAGATAAGGATGAACAGGGCCCCGCAATTAGGGAGGAGCATTAAATTCGGGAGCCCGGCTATTTTAGGGGCCCATCTAAATGAATTTGTAATTTTTGAAATTTTGATTAGAATTCGGAATACTTGTTTGACATTTAATAATATTTTATAGGCCCCTCAAAAACCTTTTGAATGGGAAATTTAGTGTGAATCATTTGATGTGGAGGGGCCTAGTGATGAGTACCTATATATACATATACAATCATCGGCCAGCTGCCACGCTGGTTTTACCTATATAATTCGATCTCTCTGCGACACCCATAATATTATTCCTATATCGATAATATAATAACTCTAATAACTCGATTTGAAACACTGCACCCTTGAACTGCTCATATACTATAGCAGAAGTTACAGGGTTCATTTTAGAATAGTAAAATTATGCCAATATTATAGGTATTATATAGGTATAGGTATAGGTACGTTCTCTTCTCGTCCTCCTTATAATATTAATATGTTTTCCAACGTCGAGGTGGCCTACAGCGATCTTTATTTTACGCACACCTGGAGCAACAGCGTATATAATGTAATAATATTATATTATAATAGGTATGTAAAAAAAAAAATGTTTATTTCGATACGTTGATTTGATCCTTCCTACAATAATGGGTGGTTTATTATTATTATATTATTATAATATTCAGAATTATTTATTTATTCAGAACAACTATATATACACAATATAGTAGATATAGGTACTTTTTGCTTGAAGGATAAATATAAGAATCATACAAAAAAGCAATCATTCAAAAGACACGACTGTTTTATTTTTCATTTTCAAACGCTTCTATGTAATATTATTTCATGTTGCGATATTCGTATTTAGAAGTACCTAAGGCGACAGCCCGTTGAGCGCGACGAAAAGAAGATAATATTATATACCTTTAATAGCTATTATACAGTACTGCAGCGCTGCACAGCTTTGTTCCGTTTTCGCGTGGCTTGTCAGGTTTGCTTTTTGCCGCCGTCTGTGAATTGAAAATCACATTATATTATTTGACATGCGTACATATTTCGGACAGCGTAATATTCGTTGTCTATAATAATATCTAATGATGGTTAATTTAATAATAATATTAATAATAAGAAAACATCCAAATTTTAAACTATTTTGGTAGGTATAAAAAAAAACTTAATATTCTAATTAGTGGTCGGTCTTGACCAAACGTTCAAGTTTCGTCAAATTGTCAAATTCACGTTTCTGCAACTATTGTGATCAGTTATTGTGGTCTATGAATGAAGTATGAAAATGGAATTTCGGAGAAAAAAATTCATATTTCATATTCCTATCGGTTCAAAATCACTTTCCGGAAAAAAATGTAACGTAATTATATATATTCTAGTATTATATATGTACCTAGTATAAATGTATAGTGGGGAAGTGATTTGTGATAGAAAACAAATATTTGTTTCAAAATATTCTTGAAGAGATCCACTCCCAATCTAGGTATTTTAATTTTTTTTTGTGAACATGCCCTTTGATCACATATTTATACCTTAAAATCATTGATTTCAGATGTTGCACAGAGATACAAAATCACATTTTACAAAGACTGTTTATATAAGTACGTGGGATTCGTACGCGGATGCGATTTACTTATAAATTATAACTACAATAACTATATTAATAAGTAGGTAATAATGTACAGTTGTAATAATTGTGGCTCTACGAGTTGATTGTAAAGATTAAAGATTGTAGACCGTATTTAGTTGCATCTATAGAATATACACTATACAGGTATTGTTATTGTATTATTATTATAATAAATTACACATTGCATATAACTATACATGCAATATTATAATGCATATTATTTGTAACAATAACAAAACATGTTATAACCTATATAATCGTTTCCGTGATACATCCGAAGATAAAACATAATAAATAGAAAACAGTGAACGGGTCGTGACGTAAAAAAAAGCATTCAACGGTTGGGTTTATTTTTAGTGGTTGTTTCTAAAATAAAATTATATACCTACTGCATTTCACATCGTAATAGAGCATCTTGCGGAGAACAATGTTTGTTTCAAACAGCATATTTTTGTTTTACATCTTCCATTATATTTATTTTAATTTTGATTATATAGATTCACGTTAATTTTCTTAATCAAATTAAACACTATGTTTACCTGGGTTGGCTGCTTTATGACTTTATATTATGTACGCATTGTAATTTGTATTACGCGTTCGCCATTCTCAGTAAAATCACAGAAGGATTACCAGAAGGATCATTTTTCTAATATAAACGACGCCACGCACACTGAAGTGGTGGTGGTAAAATTCTTTTGTTTTTGCTGTGCCGCCTCGGTGGTGGTAAAATTTCTTCATTTTTCCGTAACCGTTACCTCAGTAGTGTGGGATAGATCTGCTATACCTGTTGGTACATCAGTGTAGCCTGTATAAAGATAATAGTCAATGGTACCACTTTCTGATACAATAAATACCGTAGATAATTGTATTTTATCAATTATCACTAGATAATAAAATATATTTTATCATGTTAGCTTACAAATATGTGTAGAGTCAGTTGCAGTAGAAAAAGATAATTTTTAATTATGGTCGAAATCTGACTACACTGAAATGACGAACATTTTTTTCACTGATTTCCGAGTTCTCATTAATATAGTGATATTCTTCTGGTTATTCTGTAATCCGTGGTAAAATACAGTCATAAGCTCATAACCGTGCAAAACTGATTTCAACAAAATCTGACCCACTGCAGGTCACCTACCTAAAATTAATTACTGTTCACAATAACACTTCGATGCGTGACGGCTGATTGACGGTCCGGCAAACACACGCGCCTTTCGATTTCCATAATAATATGCAATATGATACGTATCAAAATTCATCGTATAGTAAACATACTATATATATTATATAGCGCGCCTAGTGAGTATTTAATATTCATATATGTATGTAAACATCGTATTCTATACACCCTATACAGTTGTATAATATTATATTTATAGACATTTTACTTAGAATTAATTAATATTAATCCCAGTTATGGCCGATTGGATTTTACGTAGAATTAAATCGATATTAATCCCGATTGGCTGGGAGGGTGTAATTGCAATTGCACCGACCCCGGTACAGTTTCAAGGTAAAACGTTCATGTATCTCAGCAATAAATTAACAAAATACACAATTTTCTGTCCGTTAACGGTAGGTATATACTCATGTATATAAATATATATATATATATACAGTGGTCGAAGTGGGGGAGGGTTACGGAGGGATGACATCCCTCTACTTTTTTGTATTTGCATTTTTCATCCCTCTACTTATTTTGTCTAGAATAACGCATTCTTCCTAAGACTTGTGTTTTAAAATGAAATAATTATTATAATTTTTATATTTATACCTATGTATAAGAAAACTTTTTATTTTTCGTATAGGCCTAAATCTGAATTGTAAGGCATCCCTCCATTTATCTTGAGTCATTTCGACCACTGTATATTTATACTGTGAACAGTTACTATGTAGCTGGTTTACCCAAAAAGTATATTTTAGAGGAGCGACAAGCCGGTCCCCATCCCTCTGATCTGTATTTTATGAGATATAATATACCTACCATAATTCACATTAAAGTACGAATTTTTTGTTCATAATTTTATCATGGAAATTAAAATAAATCAATAACATTTTAAGAAGTTTAAAAAATGTACGATTATGACTATATTTTCGGGCAAGTATTAGAAACAATTTGTAGAAAACCGATTCAATTCCTTCAGAAAACAGAATATTAATACACCACAATGTATTATAGGCATCCTCCATGTGTGCCACAAAAATTGTACATAACATACTTATCAGTTAACACTAATTTTATTATTATTATCATATCTTTCGAGCTGTCTACA